TCTTGTCTACTTCCTTCTTCCCTCCCTCTGTCCTTCCTTCTTTGCTTTTATTAAACAAATGCTTCGTGTTTCATAAGACACCTAGATTCCCCACGTGCCAATGTTAATAGAGCCCAGTGTTTTGTGTTGTATTTGCTTGGTTGTTGTTTTCTTTGTTCATGTAAAGATATCTTGGGAATGTTGAATAGTATTCACAGATGCTGGGATTGAAACTTCGGTTGTTCTCTTTGCCATCACCTTGTTTGAGACACATGCTTGCTTGTGATATGCAGCTTCTGTGTTGCAAAAATAAAAGTGTGTGCTGGAGTACATTAAAATTAACCGACAATTTAAATGGAGATACAATGTCTTCTGAATTCATCAACCTCAAACCATATATGCTTTGTGGCAAGTCTCTTTTCTTAGTTATGGAAAGCTCAGCTGTGACACAGCCCATATGGCCCATGTGCTCTCTTGGTGGAAACGGCCAGCACACCCTCTCTCGGTTACCTTGAGAAATAAATATTTGCAGGCAGGCTGGGATTGCCACCCTATTAGCTTAATAACTGCCCACTTCTGTGCTTGGGAAATATATATCAGAACCACCAGAGGGCAGCTTGTCCAGTGAAACGAGGGGTAAAAGTGCTGTTCTTTAGACTTAGGATGATGAGGGTGAATTTTCAAAATGTTTCTTGCATAAGCAAGCTCTTTTACACTCCTAGCCAGCTGATGTTTTTGGAAATTGAAAGTGTGTGTGTGTGTTTTTAAGATCCTCACCCAAGGGTGTGTTTTATTGATTTTTAGAGAGAGAGAAACATCAATCACTTACCTCCCATATGCACACCAGCCAGGGATTGAACCTGCCACCTAGGTATGTGCCCTGACTGGGAACTGAACCCACAACCTTTTGGTGTGAGGGATGACGTTCCAACCAACTGAGCTACCTGGCCAGGGTGGAAATTGAAAGTTTTAAGACAAGTTCTTTCATGCAAATCTGTTTTTCCCTTCTCTTTGGAATATACTAGTAAATATCAATTTTTCTGTGAATTCCCCTTCCCATCTTCCATCTTTATTCAATCTTTGTTGAAGTTTAATTTATGTACAATAAAATTTACACATTTGAAGTGATATTTGGAACATACATAGCCTTGGAATCACTGCCCCAATCAAGACAGAAATTTCCATCACTCTAGAAAGTTCTCTTGTGCCCCTTTGCGTTCTCCCCTAGCAGGTCCCATGGCTCCTTGAATCTCTGAAAACATTTTACCTGAGACAAAGCATTTTATAAATTCAACATCATGATCGTGCCCCAACATTAGGGCCCTTTCTAAGAGGCTGTGGACGAACCCTAGAGATCAAGGAAATAGAGGCTGCTCCCTTCCAAGACAATTACTGAAGAAGTTTTTAGTCTGTGGTTGGGCTGTTGGTTTAATCTGGCTCATGTTCACTGAGAGGGAGGACTGTTAATTGCAGTCATTAATTATGCATTTGTTCTTTAAAGTTTATTTCTGCCTTAATAGTGGCTAGCACTTGTCGCACTTAAGTACTTATTTGTATTAATGAACTCCAGGAATCCTTCTCAGGGGAGTGTCATTATTATCATATTCATAGATAAGGAAGCTGAGGTACAGTCACATATGGCCTTGATGTATAAAAAGAGTGAGTAGGGTTAGTTTCCTGATGCAAAATGTAAGATAAATGAAATTAAGAGCTTCTTAAGAAATGCATGTTCTCATTGACCGAAGTACCCAGCTTAAAAAACTAGTGCTTCTCTTTACGCCCATAATGTCCTTGGGCAATGTCACCCAGGGCCACGGTTGAACACCGTGACGATTCCAGTTCTGCATCCCTGACCTTGACCAACAAGCATCCCTCATCTGTCTCCCTAGTTCCTGCCTTCATCTTCTGATGGATTGCCCTGCCTCTGGCCCTTTTTGAGTTGTGGTCACAGTGATCTTTCTAACATGGAATTTTGGCAATGTCACCTTCCTGATTAAAATTCTCCAGTGGTTCACTGTGCACTAAAATGTGAGCTCCTGGTTCTTTGCCTTCTTCGGTGGCATGCCTTGCAGCTATCCAAAGCTCACTCTCAGTCAAACTAGTTGTCATTGTCCAAAGATGCCATGCCCTCTCATGTCCCTGGACCCAGGAACTGGGTGTTCCTTCTTTTTTTTTTTTTTTTTTTTTTTTTTTCTAAATTTTTATTTTTAAACCATTTATTGTTGAGAGTTTTACATATGTCCCTGGGTGTTCCTTCTGTCTAGAAAGTGCCCTCTCCTTATCGGTCAACCCTGGTTTGCCAGACAAGGTGCATCTCATCCTTCAGGAGTTGACTCACATCTTCTTCGGTTAACCTTGACTGACTTGGAATCATTTTCTCCCCACTTTCCATTGCTTCTTGTGTATTAAGCTGGGGTCACATTGTCTTATTATGTTCTTGTTGCATCTCTGTGCCCTGCTAATCTGTACCCTCCTAGAGGGTGACAACTGTGTCTTTTTTCAACTTGGTATTTCTATCCTGGCTTAATACCTGGACTGCCTATCCAGACCATTACACACCACGAAGGCAGAGAAGACACCTGTTTTATTCAGCACTGCTATGCCCAGTGTCTGGCCTAAGGTCTGGCCTATAGTAGGTGTTGAATTCTTATTTATTGAAAGCACGAATAGTGGGTGTCTTTATTTTATTTTCGTTGTTTGTTTTTTTCTTTCTTTTATTTTTTCTTATTGTCTGCAGCAAAAACATACTTAGGACAGTGAAACAAGGACCATTTCCCCCCTGGTTGTAAGTCTCATGGGGTCCCTTAGAGATTAGGGGATACGTGCCTGTGGGGGAAAGGAATGGCACAGGTGTGCTCCCTGGAGGGAGAACGTCAATAGTGGGTGTCTTTAAACATCAATTGTTATTAAATGTCAGACCACAATGGTTTATCCTAGGGATTGTAACTGAAGGGTCACCAGCATAATTGGTCCATGAATATATTTTCTATGGCCTCACAGTATTTTAAAGTTTTAAAATTTGATGACTGTAGATAGAACATATCCTCTTCTGTTTACACCACTTCATTCTCTTGCTCTTTGTCTGTTTCACTCATTTGTTGCCTGCTTGGTCCTGGGCCATACGGTTGAGAGGTGCAGGGAGTAGGGCAGTGTACTCGTTTGTTATAACTAAGTACCACACATTGGGTGGCCTAAAAAAGAGAAATTTATTTTCTCACAGTTCTAGAATTCTGCAGGCTCGAAGTCCAAGACCAGGGTGTCAGTGGGTTTAGTTTCTCCTGTGTTCTCTTGCTCTGGCTTACAGATGGCCACCTTCTCACTGGGTCCTCGCATGGTTGTCCCTTAGTCTGTGTGTGAATGTGTCCTAATCTCCTCTTATAAGAACATCAATCATATTGGATTAGGGTCCACCTATAAGACCTCTTGTCAGTAGTTAATTACCTCTTTAAAGGCTCTATATCTACATATAGCCACATTCTGACATACAGGGGCCAGGGCTTCAACATATGAGTTTGGGGAACACTATTAATCTCATTAGAGGCAAGAACACGAACTCTCAAGTACTGTGGCCTCTGCCTTGTGTCTGATGCATGTTTTATGTAACACATTAATAAAGAGGAACTCGGGAACCATCAGAGAGAACAGTTGGACCAAGGCAGAATCTGGACAGACATAACTTGCACCTGCCCAACACCTGGTCTACACTCTGATCACCTTGATCTTGGGACCATGTTTCCTAAACAACAGACATTAGGTTAATATGCCAGGTAGAATTTAGGTGCTTTTCAGTTTGGAAATGTATATCCTTTCACTCTAGAAACTGACATTCAGGCTGCAAACTTTCTTTGTCCAGGGTTCAGTGGACAGCAGAGGTAAAAGTCAGATAATGGCATGGCACCGCCTCCATTTGCAATAAGCAAACAGCTAGGTCCTTTATTACCCTTGAAACCGGCATTTGTGACACAGGTTGGACTCAGAGAAGCAAGGCAAATGCCAAGTTTCTGTGGGTCAAAGTTCCTTCAACCACTGTATGTTAATCAAAAGCTCAGCCTTACTTAATTAGGCCATTGAGTTGGGGAGAACTTTGGAACAAATGATTGCTGAGTTGGACCACAAGTGTTAGCAGAATTCAGTATTTTATTTCCCAGAGGTAGGTTGTGGACTCATGGTCTTTCTTGGAGAAGGCAGGAGTGAGATTCTTGTGAAGTTTTATTCATTCTTCGTGGGGCAGTAGCATAAGAAAATCCTCTGTACGGAGCCTAGCTAATCAAGTGTATTTACTTAAAGATGAGCTGAATAGTTATAGAATATTAATTATATATGGGCAAAAAAGCCAGATATACAGGGCTGCCAAAAATAAAGGAACGTTTAAAATACTAACAGCTCATAATGCTTTAAACAATTTTGAGTGTTTGGTGATTTAAGATCACAATTTAATGTGTCTGCAGAAAGAAATGGAAATGAATATAATATTCATAGCTGCCCTCCATGAATGTTTTCTTTCACGTGGGGCCCCAAGGGCTTCGTATCTGTCATCTTATTTATTGTCACAATGTCCTTAACAGGTGGGTTACAATAGGCCCAAATTAGATGAGTTAAAGGAGGCTCAGAGAGGTTGAGTAAAATGCCCAAGATCACCCAGGTAGCAAGTAGTAGAGCTGAGTTTTGAGCGCCTGGGAAAACCTGCGACCTTCTCTTCCCTATTACCACCTCCTGACACCTTTTCCTCTTCTCTCCTTGTAAGATTTCTTTCTTGAATGTCCTTTAGCTAATATGAACCTGAATGGCCTTGCACAGTTGACCTATTTTCTCCACGTATGGGGGGGCCAGCGGAAATTTACTACACTGTCCGGTTATGTAGTTTTCCCTGTGATCCATGCACACACTGAGATGTGTGATAATAATTTAACGCCGCAATTCTTCATCTAACCCCTCCTCCTCCATCCCTTTTAGCAGTCATCGTTGGCATACCCCTCATTAGCGGTCTCTGGTTCAGTGGTGTTTTCTTTCCCATTTCACAGTTCACGTAACAGAGGCCTTGGAAGGACACTTTGCATCAGGACACCCCGCAGAGATCAGCCATTCCTAGGCTCACCAAGAGGTTTGGTAAGCTGGCGGCATCTTCACCTCGGCTCAAATGAACATAATCCAGGGGTGGAGAAAAGTACTGAATATTGCATAAAGACATTCACAGGCTAATCTCCACTTTTTTTTTTTTTTTTTTAACCAACACATATGGTTCTGGTTTTGGGTGTTTGCTTAAATTACTAGGCCACAGTGCTCTGTATATTTATAGGCATGAATGTCTCCAGAAGATTCCATAGTCACAAAGAATGACAGAAGCTATATTTGAATGACTTTGCTTAAGCGCTTTTAATAACGAGTTTTTCCTGTAGTGTTTACTGCATTTCATCAACTCAAAAATGCATTTCCATTCCACAATTTAACATATCTGAAATTGATGTGCATCTTCTGGAACTTAGACATGGTGAAACATAGCATTTCTCTGATAATCCCCAATGACCAATGTCAAGTGTTCTCTACCTCCTGTTTTTCACAGAGTTCCAATGCTTTTTCTTTTAAAGATAGGAAATGAATATTTTTCTGTTAAAGAGTGAGTCAATAAAAATTTTGTACTTAGCAAAGAAAGAATTTAGAATTCTCATACTGAGAGAAAAACCAATTTTTTTCAGTGACTTCAGATGACAATTCTGAGATTAGTGGCCCTGGGCCCTCATGAGCAGTGGTGATGGCACTCAGAACAGCTCAGAATCAGACATTCTTATCCAAAGCCAGGTTCCCACATCACAGGACTTGCAACTAAAATACTGTGCTGTGCCTTCAGAATGATTTGTCAGCACCCGATTGTCTGTGAATGAGTTCGAGTTGGCATTTATATAGAATGGGCAGGATTTCCCCAAGCTACATGTACCTGGTTTTTATGGACTTGAAGATTTGCAGAACCTCCCTTCTGTAGAGCCTCATGGAGGACAGAACACAAATGCTGAAATCAGTAGGCGTACAGGTAAATCGGTTAACAAAGATTTTCTGCTATGTGCCACACTCTGTGCTAGGCACTGGGTAGTTAAGAGATGAAGACAGAAAGGATTGGATTTCTGTCCCCAGGAAGCTGGTCTAGTACTCAAGGCAGACATTAAATAATCTATACATATAAAAAAAAGTCTAAGTGATTGTTACAACCGAATGACCAGAATGACCAGGCGACCAGTTGCTATGACGCACTGACCACCAGGAGGCAGATGCTCAACACAGGAGCTGCCCCCTGGTGGTCAGTGCACTCCCACAGCCAACCTCCCATGGCTGGCCAACCTCCTGAGGCCCTTCCCCTGGCCAGTCGGCTCCCTGATAGGCCTTGATCACCAGCCAGGCCAAGGGACCCCACCTGTGCACGAATTCGTGCACCGGACCTCTAGTAGAAGAATAATGCGTGGATTGAAGAAGTATAAGGAGTTAAGAAAGTTTGAAATCAGAGGCTTTAACCTAATCATCAGTGGGAGGGGCAGTCACCAGGGAAAGTTTTCTGGAATTTAAGTGCTATTTTAACTGAGGCTCAGAAGGAGAAGGAATGGTTTGCTAGGCAGAGGGAGATTGGGGGCAGATGGTAGTGACTGCACCAAGTGAGAAACAGCTTTTCCTGAGGGTCTCATATGAGGCGAGTGAGTGTCAGGTTCAAGATTTAACTATGAACCTAATGAGGAAAGGGATTCAGATAAACAGATGTCTATTATAAGGACGTGGTCAAATTTCAGGAAGAATCTTTAAAACCCCTTAGAGATTTATTTCAAACTGGCGATCAGATTTTTTTGTTTTTTGTGGTTCAGACATAAATTCTTTCTTCTCTATCAGCGTTATTTCCCCGAGCTGGATCTCAAGTCCTGTTTTCCTGCCAGTCCTTTGAATTCTCTCCAAATCTGTGTCTGAATTTCTCTCACTTCCCTCCAACAGGGACACGATCAGCTTCCAGCGAGAGGTTGTTTTCATCAACAAATGTGTTGTTTTTTTCTTTTTCTCTACTTTCTTGATGGTATCAGGAGGGGGTCATCATTGGCATGATTCCCCCCACCCAAAGGCCAGATTCTTAAAAATAGAAAATAGGCGGTTTAAATAGAATAAAGACTAGCTACTTGAACCTGCTTCCGCTTTTGGATCATTATGAGATTCTCAAGTTTTAAATCTTAGTGCTCGATGTTGACATTTTCTATCAAGAGTACTGCTGAGCTGAGACTCTTTGACCAGTAACTAAACTGACAGATTCAGAAATTCATGCATGTGCATGCATGCACGCACACACACACATATGGTACCCCAGGTCCAGTGGATTGGCCATCTCAAGATTTCTTAATCATGAGTGAATATGATGTGGTCATTTTTTGAATTGGAGCTGGCCAGAATTAGCTAGATTTTATTTATTTATTTATTTATTTTAAAAAAGATCTATCTATTTAACAGGCCTAAAAATTTGGGATGGGGAGTTTATTCACCTCAATCTGAGATAAGGTTGGTCTGTTTTCTCCATACAAAAGGAAAGAGTATATCACTGGCTATGATTGATATAAAGAAATTTGAAGTTTTACTATTAACTTTTGGTGACCTGTTGGGTCAGACCTCTTGAAAGTTAATGCCTAGATCATTACTTGATTTTTCTCAAGCCACGGGAATTCTGTGTTCCTCCATCAAGATATGGGCATCGGAGGTCAGATGGTGGAGATTCCTGGGAAAGGGGAAGAGAAAAAAATCACGGAGTTCCTGATGGAAACTTTAAATGAAATAGCTAAACGTTTTGAATGCTGACCCTTTCCTACTCATCACAGCCTAGATTTCTATTTCAAGGCAGTTAATAAATTAAAAAGTGGGCATTGTTTAATCTTCAAATTGAAAATACAAGTTCATTTTGAAAAGAAGGAAAGGTAGGCTGCTTAAGACATTGTTTTCTATGGTGAATGGCTCTTCATGCTTCTGAATGGTAGCTGTCATTTAGTGGTCACAGATCCTCTTAGAAACAGATTTCCCCCAAATCCCTAAAATTTATCAGAAGCTAGACATTTTAGAAAATGACTTTCCCATCATTTTTTTCCCCAAGAAGGCAGATTGTAGCTCAAAGAGAACTTAAGGTAAGCTTTGTACAACTTCTGTGGTTCGTATGAAGGAAACTTACTCAAGAACAAATACACACAAAGGTTAAGCAAATGAGTTGAAACAGATTCTCTTTTGTTTAGTCAGCCACTAATAAAGGCCTGTCACAAAATGACACCAGGATGTTGAAGACAGTCCCTAAAAGCAGGTTCTAAATGTGATTTTTCTGCCGTTTCACCTGAACATAGAAGAGATGTTTTTCCATCACATGTTACTTTTTACTATTTACTTGGTCCCATGTAACTTATTACTACAGAGAGGAGGAATGAAAGCCTGTAGTTTAATTTAATAAACCTACCAAGGACCCCCACATGAAAAGACAGGAAAGATTCCGGGCAGGTGTATAGAGATACAAAGATGATTCAGACATGATCTTTGCCCCAGAAGAGTGTAAGAGGAAATATTAATAATAAAACAGGAGTTAGAACAAGCAACATCATAACTCAAATATTTAATGGCACGTTTGAAAATGCAGTGGAAGTTAATGGATCCTCTTTTCTCATCTGTATCCACATTTACCAGAGAGTAAACTCATCACTCTGTTGTCTGGACATGTTACTTTTTTCTGATCTCTGATCCAGTTGAACAAAAGTAACCCTGAAGTCCTTTGCAGTTTATAATGATCCATATGTAATTGCCACGGTGATATAAGCTGAAGAACTTTCCAAAAAGATTTAGTGTCAGAGTAATTGGGCCCAACTCACCCATAGCCCGTTGTGGATACTGTCAACCAGTGACTTCATAACAAGGCATTTCTGTAGCTAAGATGATCCTGAGGTTGTTTTCCAGAGCCAAATGGACATACGTTTGGGAAAACTGATTTTCATAGGGAATAACAAGTTTTTCCAGGGAGTTTGTGGTTAATCACAAACTGGATGATTTCCCTTTAAAATTATTTCATCCACATGGGCCAAAGTTTCATAGAGCCAGTGGTTCCTTCAGCAGTCTGCTCCTTGATGACTTGCTGTTTATAAGACAACCTACCCCATTTTTAAAACTGAAAAGGTAGAATGGTGGCTGTGGGCCATGACTCAACCAATAACATGATGGCTGACAAGCGGACGTTCGCCTACAAAAGAAGGACTGTCTTCCTAAAAGGAAGAGGTTTATTCCCAGTAAGGACAAGGAAAAGGAAAGCTGTGGGCATCAACAAGATGTGTGTGTCTTTTGGCAGAATAACAGGTCGACGATGGCATTATGCTTTGTAGGAGGATATTTGATGCTGTAGAAAACAAGGAGAATTCTCCAAGGTTATGAGGCTGAAATGTGTGGCTAAAGTCAGCAAAGAACCTTTAGACAAATTTCATGGGCAACACTCAAAAGTCAGCCCCGAAGTTTCCAAGAACAAGGTCTTCAAACCAGTCATTAGACATGCACCAAAGTTATGCTGAGTTGGGGCCCCATCGAAGGCTATGCATTGGTTCATGCAGGTTGCCCCCAGGTGTCAGCAGTTGCTTCAGAAGGGCAGACAGAAATGGCATGTCTGATGTTCACTTCGGCCATACTCATGGGTGTCTGTGCTGCCAAGAAATAACAGTAACAGAAAAAGCACGTCGCTTTATCAAGAGTAACAAAAATTCTGTTTGCAACGTAAGTCAGGTCCTTTTGAAACTAAGGCCGAGTTCAGTAAAATATAAGGGACATCTTAAGAAAAAAATGAAGTGGTTATTGAAGACTCAGGCTGGGGTGAAAGGGAGCTGAACAGACTTTTAAATCTAGGCAGGTCAGTACCTACTGATTCTGTCCATCTCCATTTGTGCACACAGCCACCAAATGATTCTTAGAAACATAACATGTTAGAGTTAAAAAGGAACCCTAGAGGTGATGATGAAAATAAATAATGATAACATTTATTGAGTGCTCACTAAGTGCCAGGCACAAAAGAAATCTTTTATTTGCATTGTCTCATTTTTTCTCTCTCTCTTTATTGATTAAGGCAGGGGTCCTCAAAC